AGAAAATAACGATTCTGACAGCGAGTAATTGTGCTGTTGTAATTTCAATTTTGTGATATAATTTCTCCAAGCATATTTGATAATTTCTTTCATCATTATTGTTTGTAAAATAATTACTCCTTAATCTGTTCTATACCACATAAATTCAAAGCAATTTATTTAATAGTAATATAAACACAATTAATAATATTACACACTACAATTACGATGGTATTATAATATTATAATAGTAATATAAACACAATTAATATAAACACAATTAATATTATTATAACGATATAATAATAATAATAAGAATAATAATAATAATTATTATTATTAATAATAATAAATCATGTCTGAATTTTTCTGATCTGATCTGATTTGAATAAAATAAGAATAAACAATAAGTAATAACTAACACAAAGACGAACAGAACCACACCTTATTCATTTTTCGGTTCAATAAGTTGTGTACATAGTTTCAGACGACACATTCTTGTACGCATCATATCTCAGTCAATTGGTTCTTTATTAGTCATTTTTTTGCATAAAATGCTTGGGTGACAGGGAAAATGAAATTATAAATTAAATAGTCACGGTAGTAGTCACGGTCAGGACCGTGACTACACCCTTCGTAAATGCCGAAGTCAGGGCCAACGGTCAGAGGGGCGCTGACCACAATAGTCACGGTCATTGCCGTGATTATGACCGTGACTATTTTCAAATTTTGAAAACAGTCACGGTCATAGTCACGGCTATGACCGTGACTATTCCGATTAAAGGCGGCTCTGACCGCCTCGCTGACATCGTCAATTACGAAGGGTTTAGTCACGGTCCTGACCGTGACTATGACCGTGACTAAACAATTATATAAAACATACACTTAGCGTTTTTTTAAAAAATCCTACGCACCATATCTCAAACCCTAAACTACCTCTTCCTTCTCTCTTCCTTCTCTTCCAGTTTGCTTAGTGCCGCCGCCGTCGCCGTCGCCGCCTAGCATCTGCCGTCGCCGCCTAGCATCTGCCGTCGCCGCCGTCGCCGCCTAGCATCCGCCGTTGCCGTCGTCCACAACCAGTAGTCCGCCGTCGTCCGCCGCCTTCCGTCGCCGCCCCTTCTTTTCTCAGTCAAGGTTATGTATTCTTTTCATCTTATTTGCTAATATTTGATATAAAATCCAAAAATGCATGATACTATACTCAAATGCATGATAAGATACATGATTTTTAGTTTCATATCATCTTGTAATGTTCAAAAGTTGTATGTATGATTTATTATATGCATGATTTGTAGTTTTGCATGATAATATCGGTTTATATGTTTGGTATGCATGATAATTATGTTTAAATGATTTAGATTATTTTATGTTTAATATATGTTCATACGCATGATTAAAGTACTTATAAACTGTTTTTCAACAAACTTAATTTAAAAAAAAAATTAATTTCCGAATGTAATTTATGAAAATATTTGAACAAACTTATTAAATAAACTGTCTTTATTTTCTTGTTCATATATATTATATTCTTTTTTTATTTAAACCTTGCTCAATATGTTTTCGAACTAATGCATGCTTATACAATTAGTACGATGTTTAATATATATGTTTAGTGTTTGATTTGCATGCCTCTCCATACATATGTATTACTTTAAATGTAATTTCCGAAAATATTTAATTTATGAAAATATTTTAAAAAAACTGTTTAAATAAATAGCCCCTCGTGTTAAACTTCCAAAAATAGGTTAACACGTTTAAATATAATTTCCGTAATATCCATAAACAAAATATTAAACATATAAATTTATTCCCGAAAAACTGTTAATTAAAAACTGTTTTATTAAACAGATTTTTGTAAAAAATAATTTTTATAAAAACTGTTTTAATAAAAAGTGTTTTTATGAACACTGTTTTTATAAAAACTGTTTTTATAAAAACTGTTTTTTTAAAAACTGTTTTTATACAAACTGTTTTTATATAAACTGTTTTTATAATTTATCTAAAAAAAACTGTTTTTATAAAAACTGTTTTTATAAAAACTGTTAATTAAAAACTGTTTTATTAAACAGATTATTGTAAAAAATAGTTTTTATAAAAACTGTTTTAATAAAAAGTGTTTTTATAAAAACTGTTTTTATAAAAACTGTTTTTATAATTTATCTAAAAAAACTGTTTTTATAAAAACTGTTAATTAAAAACTGTTTTAATAAACAGATTATTGCAAAAAATAGTTTTAATAAAATTTGTTTTAATAAAAACTGTTTTTATACAAACTGTTTTAATAAAAACTGTTTTTATAATTTATCTAAAAAAACTGTTTTTATAAAAATTGATATAAATAAACTGTTTTATATAAACTGTTTTATTAAACAGATTTTTGTAAAAAACAGTTTTTATAAAAACTGTTTTAAGAAAAAGTGTTTTTATAAAAACTCTTTTTATAAAAACTGTTTTTATAAAATCTGTTTTTATAAAAAAACTGTTTTAATAAAAAGTGTTTTAAAAACTTGATTTAACAAACTGTTTTAAATTTATTTTAAAATGATATATCTAAAACAACCATGCGTGCCGTATTGCTACAATGCAGCGTGAACTGGAGGAGCACGAACGGCGATGGGAGGAGCAGCGGAAAGCAGATGCTGCCACAAAAGCCCGGTTGGAGGAGATGGAACGGTACATGCGTGCCGGATTCCAGCCTCCGCAACAGCCTTTTCCTCCCCCGTACGTATTCCACCCTGAGCAAACTCCTCAAGTTCCGCACATGGGCGGTATGGGATTTTTCCCCAACTCCGGATATGGTGGCATGCCTATGATCTCCCCGAATTTCGGATCTATGTCCTTTGATTTTGCGAGGTCATCCGGAGGAGGTAGTGGCACACCGAGCCATGGAGGTCGAGGAGCACCCCGAGGAGGACCCCGAAGAGCACCCCGAGGAGGAACCCGACCTGACCCCGAAGACCCCCCCGTGAACCCAGATGAGTTTCTTGTTGATGATGATGATGATGAAGAAGAAGAAAATCTTAATTTTTTTCATAATGGAGTCCCACGAAGGGACATGTAATCATCATACATTTGTACTTTGTTGTTTGTCAATACATTTGTCACAATATTTATTAAGTTTGTTGTATGTTTTTACTCTTTAAAATGTAATTTTAAATTTAAAAAATTAGAATAATATTTTCAATAATTCAATAGTATAAAAACATGGATAAAAATTAGAATAACATTTTTAAATTTAATTTGTAAAAATACGTGTTAAAAAGTAATTTTTAAAAACAACTTTCAACAAAAAATGGATTTTTTTTTTTAAAAAACAAAAATAGTAGTCACGGCCTTATCCGTGACTACAGTTAATTCGAAATTATTATTTGTTTTTAATAAAAAACATTATTTTATTTTTTTTTAAAAAAACTTAGTCACGGTCGAAAACCGTGACTAATTTCAAAAATTTAGATTACACCCGCGGGCGGTCTTTTGAAAATTTTGAAAATTTTTAAAAATAGTCACGGCCCACAGCCGTGACTAATATTTTTTTTTTAAAAAAAAATATTAGTCACGGTCACAGGCCGTGACTAACACGTCGGAGTGGGGTTTCCGGCATGAAAATAGTCACGGCCCTTGACCGTGACTAATCCGTGACTAATAAATTTAGTCACGGTTATGTGGCGGTGACTTCATTTAGTCACGCCAATTAAGACACGGATTTAGTCACGGCGGATGACCGTGACTAACCTTTTTAGTCACGGAATTTTTACACTGCAGTCCGTGACTAAATCCGTGACTACGCCCGTGTTTTTTTTGTAGTGAATATGCCATGTTTTGGACATTTTCATAAAAAATAGCATTTTTCTTACAAAAAATGACATTTTTTACACCGATCGGAGGTGATGGTACACGGAGGCAGTATAGGCGGTGGGAAAGGCATCCATATTTTTATAGATTTTTACCCTCTTTTATTAATTTTTATTTTTAATTTTTTTTTTTAATTTTTTATTTTGTAAATATTTTATTATTTTTATATTATTTTTCAACGATTTTTATTATTTTTATGATTTATTATGAATTAAAACATTTAATTATGAATCTTAACTACCTTTTGATTCTATTTAAAGGAGAAGTAAGAATGAAATAAAAAATATGTATCTTTCAAATACGAGTAATATGGTTTTTTTAAGGAAACATATGATTATATTTTGGAATATAGTTATATTTTTGTTCTTACCCTAGTTTTACTCTGTATATGTTCCCTTAATTAATGTGGATCTGATAGTACGTTACTTTTGATGCGTGTGGCATGCAATTTCCACACTTTTTACTCTATGATTCACTATTATTGCCACGAATTACTGAATTAAACATTGACTCTAATGAGTAATGATGGAACCCATATAATTCCTTTAAGTCACATGCCTCAACTCCAATCAAGTAGAGTCTATACATAACTATTATTGTTACCCTTATTCTTATTTACATAAATATGATTATGGTTATTGTAAGCGTTACCATTTATTGATGGCATATATATATCATATCGTAATATTGTTACTAAGCCATTCTTAAATTTTAAATACCAACAATAATCTACTAATAATAGCAACACACAAATATTAATAAGATTAACAATACATTATAACTCAAGCTTTTATGTTTATAATAACATACAAATAAATTGAATAACAACAACAATAATAACAATAATACGGACGGAGTAATGATTATTAATAATAACTTACTCTTAGAGCCCGTATGGTATGCCCTATTATAAACTTATCCGTTATAGCCGTCAACTTTTTATTGAAACATGTAATTTTTAAGTCCACATTACTTTAGGTAATTATTTTTACTATTTTCCATTCAATGATTTCGTTTTTTTTATTAATCAAAAACGTATTTTGAATGTAAATGGTGACAATAAATGGCATTGAAGTGTTTGCTTTTATTTGGATATGTTTTAGTCAGACAATAATTTCGTGTATAAATACAATGTTACAACCGTATAACATAACTTGTAATCTCGTGAGAGCAAATCATTTACTACGTATTTTAATTTGAAAGAAAGAAAATCACGTACAGCCGCATCGGGAAAATGCTAAAAGTAGAAAGCAACTGCCTGCTATTCTTACTCGGCTTGTTGTCGCTTCTTCACATGCACGGAATCGTTGGTAACGAAGAAGGTTCGATCGATACAAATCCCTAACTCCTTTCATTGATTTTAACCATATCGTTCATTATTTAATTAATAAAACTGATCTGATGTGCATGAATGCTGCCCATACACCATTAAAAAACAAATTAAACATATCATTTCCTGATGAAAAACCAAGTATAATTATTTCGCATGAAAAGTGTGAACCAGTGCACTGTTTACTCAACATGATGCATTATTTTATCTTTATATTGCAAGTTTTCCCAGGGATATATAGAAAATTCTGATGTATATATTTCAAATTGCTACTGCTTTTTTTTTTACCAAATCTAGTGCGAGGAGAGGCCGATAGGGTCTACGTAAGGGTTACGGTAGACAAAAATTCAGAATAATTTGTGTTTTTTTCAATTTCTTTAGTGTAATTTTCATTTTTCATGTTTAGCCCGTCCCCCCTATTATTGTTCAGCCCAACCAACCCAGATTCATGGACTCACCCCTATCTAGTGCATTCAGGGGCGGACCCAGGAAGTTTATCTTGGGAGGACGGTAACTTAAAAAAATATTTTTTGGAAGGGCGAAAATTATTTTTTGGTATATATATACATTAAAAAAAAATTGTTGGAGGGGCCACTGCCCCCGGGTCTCTACTATGGTCCGCCCCTGAGTGCATTATTGTTGACTTGGTTTGACCCACTAATATTTAACCAGCTTATAAGTGATCCATATTTGATTGTGTTTATTACGCACAGTTGATGCTTTATATGTTATGAAGACAGCACTTCAAGACCCACGCAATGTTCTACAGAGTTGGGATCATACTCTAGTCGTTCCCTGCAATTGGTTTCATATTACGTGTGGGGGAGTAAAAGATCTTCCGGAGTGCGACAACAAGGTTACTCGAATGTAAGCCTCTGCATGCTTATTTTCGGTCAACCCCTAGCTAGCTACTTAGCCTATTTTTGGGTTTATGAATATATGGAACACTCATATTAGTTAATTTTTTAATGAATTTATTAACATGTTTACCTTTCAGTGATCTTGGAAATGTAGGGCTCTCCGGTACACTCGTTCCAAATCTCCAGAACCTTAAATGCTTGCAGTATTTGTGAGTTCAAATTATTTTCTTTCATAGCATCAAATGAAATTCACAATGTGCTACATACAGTGGCGACTACCGGACTACGTACATAGGTTCCGGACTTCCGGATTAATAGTGTTATTGTGTTAAGTAAAGAATTAAATAGCAAATATTTTCTTCCCTTGTATATTCCTTATGTAATTATGTATATTATTTACTTACCTTGTATTTAGGGAATAGGTGTACTATATATTGTGTAAACTAGCTCCTCAATTCATATGGTGAATAAAATAATTCTCCTACATGGTATCAGCCTGTGTCCACCGTTTCTTCCCTTGTTTAGCCGCGGTTTAGCCTCAGTTCTCCTTTTTGACTGACGAACTGGTCCCCTTCGTCTCTCACTTTTTCTGTCATGGCTGCTCCTGATTCCGTTCCTATTGCTACCATGGTTCACATGGTCACAATTAAACTGTCATCTACCAATTACTTGCTATGGAAAAGCCAAGTTTTCCCTATGCTCACAGCTTTTGATCGCATCGGATATGTTGACGGTACAGTCCCTGCTCCTTCTCCAACTCTCACCGAATACTCCGTTCAACGCCCCAATCCTGCCTACGCAAATTGGTGAGCCACAGACTAGAAGGTTCTGGGCGTTCTCTTCTCTACTCTCACAGAGGAGTCCAAGGCCGAAGTTGTTGGATGCTCTACCTCTCGCGCGGCCTGGCTTGCGTTGTAAGACACTTTCTCTTCATCGTCCATCTCTCGTGCTAATCAACTTCGTGATGAATTGACGTCCCTTCGTCGCGGTTCGCTCTCTGTGGCTGAATATGGCCGTCAATTCCAAAACCTATGCCTCAATCTTGCTGAAATTGGACGACCCGTGGACGAATCTGACAAGAGCCATTGGTTTCTTCGACAGTTAGGCCCTCAATTTATTAACTTTTCCAACAATCGAATGTCTCGCGTCCTTGTTCCACCGATTCACGACCTTGTTCATCAGGCCCAACAATATGACCTATTAATTCGCACCATGGAGGGGACACCCTCACCTTCTGCTGCTTTCTATGCTCACGACCAGGGCAGGACTTCCGCCCAGCGGGATTATCGCGCCTCTTCTTCCCGTCCAGGACAGAACTCTGTCCCACACAGCAATTTTTCTGGTCGGAGTAGCCCGTGCGGCTTCAGGGCTGGTTCTTCATCCGGTCACCATTCATGTGGACGTGGTGGCTCCGATTCCGGCTCTAATTAATCAGACTCGCCGGCCTTATACTCCTCGCTGCCAGATATGTCGAGGAGAGCACTATGCGGATAAATGCCCCCAATTTCTTCAGGAGCGTGGAATTTCTCCCCAACCTTCTACCCAGCTTGCGGAAGCATTTAACGCCTCTTGCAATCTGTCTGAGCCTGTTTCAGATTGGTACGTTGACACTGGTGCTTCGGCACATATGACTTCTCAAATTACTAATCTGGATCAATTTGAGCCCTACTCCGGGAATGGTAAGGTTATCGTGGGTAATGAATGGATCACCTTTACCTATTTCTCATATTGGCTCCCACTCCTTGCACAATAATATTAAACTCTTCGATGTTCTGGTTGTCCCTCACAATACCAAAAATCTTTTGTCCATCAGTAAGCTCACATCTGATCATCCCGTGGATGTTATTTTTTCTCATAAATTTTTTACTGTTCAGCACCGAAAGACAAAGGCAGTTCTAGCTCAAGGCAGGTGTGAACAAGGTCTATATGTGTTGGAGCGCGGCGGTCCAACATTACTTGCACGTTTAAATTCTAGCTTAATAAAGGCCTCTTTTGATTTATGGCACTTACGTTTGGGGCATGTCCCATTTCGTATAATTTCTCTTTTGCAAAAAATGGGACATTTACCAAATCCTGGTTTATGCAATTCATGCCAATCAGCCAAAAGCAAGCGTGTTCCTTTTGCTTTAAATGAAAAACGTGCATCTAATGTTCTTGACCTTGTTCACTGTGATCTATGGGGCCCTGCACCGATAGCTACTACTGATAGTTATTGCTATTATGCCGTGTTTATAGATGATTTTTCCAGGTTCTCTTGGTTATACCCCCCCCCCCCCCCGTGCCAAATCTGAGTTTGTTGATACATTTATGCGGTTTCATCACTTTGCTTGCAATCAGTTTTCAGCCTCTCCTAAAGTATTTCAATCAGATGGCGGCACGGAGTTCACGAATACTCGCCTACGGGCGTTTATGGATATCCATGGAATTCATCATCAAATTTCTTGTCCCTATACTCCTCAGTAGAATGGTCGCGTTGAACGCAAGAACCGCCACATTACAGAAACTGGCTTGTCCATGATGTTTCATGCTCATCTCCCCGCTACCTTTTGGTTTGATGCATTTGCCACAACAGTTCATATAATCAATCGCCTGCCATCTTCTCTGCTTCATAATCAATCACCGATTTAAGTACTTTTTGGGTCTCCCCCCGTTTATGCTCACTTTAAACCCTTTGGTTGTCGGGTATTTCCATACTTACGAGATTATGCTGTTGACAAATTGGCTCCTCGAAGTCGACCTTGCATTTTCTTGGGATACAGTGGCTCTTACAAGGGTTTCCGGTGTTACGATCCTAACACTTCCTGGATGTTTATTACCCGTCATGCTCAATTTGATGAACATCATTTTCCCTTTGCTGGCACAACTGGCTCGTCTCCATCATCCTTATTGGAGTTCTCTACCTTCTCCGAATCTCAATACACTTCTCCTACCCCAACCCCTCCCCCTAAAACACCCTCTCCGACAATCTCATCTACCTCTACACCATGCAAAGCCTACATTCCGCCCTCTACTTCTTCTCCTATTCCTGACTCCGTCCTCCACTTCTTCACTTTGGGCTCTCCTTTGATCGTCGCCCTGAACAATCCATTCTAGCTTACTCTGATGCTGATTGGGCACGATGTGTTGAGACTCGACGTTCCACATATGGGTATTCAATTTTTCTTGGCAGAAATCTCGTCTCTTCGGGTGCTAAGAAGCAACCTTCAGTTTCCCGTTCCAGTTGTGAATCCGAGTACCGTGCTCTAGCCAATGCTGCTTCTGAAGTCATTTGGGTAGTCAACTTGCTTCGTGAACTTCAAGCATCTCCAGATTCAGTACCACTTCTTTTATGTGACAATAAGAGTGCTATTTTTCTTAGTCAAAATCCTATTGCACATAAAAGAGTGAAGCATATTGACATTGATTATCATTTTGTGCGTGAATTGGTCTCTTCCGGTCGTCTGCAAACACAATTTGTGTCGTCTCATCTTCAACTTGCTGACATTTTCACCAAGAGCCTTCCTCGGCCCGCCTTTGAATTTCTACTTTCCAAGCTCTGCGTGTGCCTACATCCCACGCATCACTTGACGGGGGTAATAGTGTTAAGGAAAGAATTAAATCGCAAATATTTTCTTCCCTTTTATATTCCTTATGTAATTATGTATATTATTTACTTACCTTGTATTCAGGGAATAGGTGTACTATATATTCTGTAAACTAGCTCCTCAATTCATACGGTGAATAAAATAATTCTCCTACACGGATCAATCTTAAAAATCGTAAAATCACTCTTAATGTGAAAATCGCAAATCATTCACTTTTTCCTCAATGTGATGCACTTTAAAGCTCGACTCTTGCGCTTTTTGAACTTTGGTCGAGTTATACCAAATAAAAGTGCGGTGACATTTTGGTGAATAAGTCAAACTTTTCTACAGATGCAAATAAGTGCAACATAGAAATGTAATAGTGCATCACATTGAGGGGAAATTGAACGATTTGCAATTTGTATGGAATTGAAGGACTGATTTTTATTTGATCCGTACCCTATCTGATCTACATCTCTATATACATAGAGATCTATAATATATTACTCCGTATATACACTGACATTATACACGCTCTTATGCACATGTGTATCAAAGGCATGCATGCATTTATATTACGGAGTTGTATAACAAAAATAGAAATTATCCCGACTAGGAGTAAAAACGTTTCAAAATTCCAAAATATGATTTTCATGTTTCTACTCCCTAAATAAGAGTAATTTCTGCCAAATTTGGAAAACATTTGACAGAAATTGTTATGTTTAAAGCTTGATAATGTCAAACTTAGCAAAAATTAATCCTATTTAGAAAATAAAAACACGAATATCCTATTTTGAAATTTCAAATTTTTACTCCTGTTTAAGGATTTTTCTTCAAAAATAGAGATAAGAGATGTTATTAATTAATTATCATCATTTTCCGGCCAGGGAGCTTTATGGTAATGCTATCACTGGTACGATGCCTGAGGAGTTTGGCAACCTAACAAATTTGGTGAGCTTGGATCTGTACGATAACCAATTGACCGGTCAAATACCCCAAACGTTGGACAAATGCCGCAATCTCATATTTTTGTACGTGTTACCTTGATTAGCTTTCTCCATATTTAATTTGTTATGGATAATTACTCTCTCTATTCCGATTTCTCATTAATTCATATTACTATATCACCCGTGCGTGCGATACATGGTTTGAGATGTTTCCTGAAAAACTATAGTTGTGTTTGCGTACGCTACATGGTTTGAGATGTTTCCTGAAAAACTATAGTTGTGTTTTACAATATGTAGTTTTATATAGTAAACTTGAGTTAAAAAACAATATGTGTCAACTTCTTATTGGATAATGCAGATTTTATTATCATTAAAATTAAAGCAATTAATTAATTCAATGTCCACCCCAATTAGAACTTGAGTCACGGCTCATTTAGAGCAAGAGTAGGAGAAAAAATCTCTCTTTTTTAAAGTGATATAACTTTTATATTTATAATCCAAATTCTACAAAAAATATATCAAAATTTATAATTTTTTAACATCTTTCATATGACACCAATATTATATATATAAAAATATATAAAAATATCTATTTATTGGTTAACAAAACTTAAATTGTGAATCTCTTATTAGTAATCGCTGACATGTGAATCTCTTATTGGTTAACAAAACTTAAATTGTCATTATTATCAAAAAAATTAATTAGATCGATTAATTAAAGGAAAAGCCATAGAGAAAAACGTGTGCAAGAGAAAAATTTGGAGAAAAACTTGGAGATAAAAACGTAGAGATTGTTTATAGTTAAACTTGAGTCCGATCCACACATTAAAATATTTGTTTAATAATAATTCCATGCTTATAAACTAATTATTAATTCCAAAAAATAGCTAAAATGGCTAATGGAAAAGGCACAAGGAGGAAAAGGTGGAGAAAATACAACAAGTGTGTGCATATCCACCGGGATATCATTATCTTTTAATCTTAATAATTTTCATAATATTATTATCACCCATTGTTCATATAGAAAATCTAATTCTCTTTTCATCTTTAATTTAAGGCATTAAATGTTTATTGCATTCCACTTTAGAGACCGTTTTATAACCATATTGTTCGGCTTATCAGACTTATTAACCAATTTTTTATCAAACACGTAATTTTTTATTTCGCGTGCTGAATTATGTAATAATAAAAAGTAAGGTTGATGTTGTTTTTCTAGCTGTCTGTATTGATTGGATGAGCTAATAGCCTAATACAGCCAATTTGGATATTACCAAACGGTTTCTTAGTTTTTAGTGTTCAATTCTTTTAGCACGTACGAGCTTTTCACTTTCAATAGTTCTTTTCTCTTAGTTAATTATTTTAATTTAATTTTATTTTATAATGATACAATCATTATTACTCAATTCTTTTAAAAGTAAATATAAATATAAACAATTTAATCGAGAATTGAGTGCCTCGGGAACTAAATAGATGATCAGCGATTTTCTTCTTCTTCTTTGTCACTAATTAGCTCGACAAGATGATTTTGATAGATCAAGATCGAATAAATGTTGAAATTATATAAATATTGAAAGAATTTATACACGACTAAAGTCAAATCATTCAAGGATTGTTTACTTTTTTTCTATTTGATTGGATTAAGACGTCAATCTTAGTTAAGGTATCCTTTTCCAATTAGTTGTGAGAATTACCATATATTAATGTCGCAAAAATGATTATTTGATTTAGAAGTCTCATTTATTAGTACAGAGTTTTATAGAAATAAAAAAAGATAATAAAAAATAAAAAACTCAATTTACAGGACAATTTGAATAGTTAACTTACCAAAACTTTGGGACGCTGAAAAATGATACGATACACATACATTAATAAGTATGAATGTTTTAATTGAATTGTTTTCAGACACATGCCAAACTGGCTAGAACAAACCAAATAAGACTTGAATAGACTAGACCACACTAAAACAGACTAGATCACACCAGAATTCGACAATTATAATATACACATACACCAGACATCTACCAAACCAGACCAATTCAAGCAAGATCAGACCAAACTTCAACAAAGTAGACCAAAGTAATTCAAATAAAACTAAACTAGGCAACAAAATTTCAATCCAATTAAAATCATTCTAAGATTAAGAAACTTATTATGTAATTGTAGAACGTAAAATTTGAACTGTGCCTAAAATGTTAAAAGGAATTTGAACTCAATAAATTTATATACTACGAATTAAACATTTTTATCTTATAATTATTTGAAAATGATGGTTTTAAATTATTATACTTATGGCGATATTTTAAGCAATAGTTAGTTGTTGTCTTGCTACGGTACCTGAAATACTTGGCATGGTATGAAGGTTCTTCAATTAATGTTCTCATAAATAGAGTATAATAATAATAAGTCTAAGACCAAAATAATAATAAAATTTTAGTGAATTTATTCTCATTTGAACAACAAAATGTTATTTACAAGTTTGGTATTAATTCAAAATCTATATTAATATTTAATATTTTAATTTACATTAACATGCCACTAGTTAAGATTATAGTTGTGTTTTATAATTAAGGTGTGTTAAAGAGATAAAAATAAATCGTAAATCTTTGTAAAATGAAATTATGAATGATATAAATGAATAAAAAAGCTAAGGGAAAGGGAATTGAAAGACTATATACACAAATTAACATATACCAAGTACGAAAATGATACTTCGCATGTTAAAGTGCAACATGTTCATTTTTGTTTTTTACGTCGTAGACTCGTAGTTTCAGAATGTTATTTTTTGGAATGTTTTCAATCTCAGACCAGACTAGACCAAATCAGATCAGACAGACCAGACAAGATGAGACTTCTGTAGTTATAAAATACATAGAGACCAGACGTTTATCAGACCAGACCCGTTCAGACCAGACCAGACCAAACCAGACCAGACCAGATCAGCAAATTTCAGTTCAAAAGAAAACATCCTTGCACGAAGTATTCAATTATTTGGTTTAATATGTATATATACATTAAAAATAAGAATGTGATTCAATGTGCAAATATGTTTAAATTAAATGCATCGAATAATGGATTTACACAATATATAAACAAGAAAAAATTACACTAATATTACTCCTGAAAGGTGATGGATAAAAGTATGACTTAGTAACTATTAGTGACTATAATTGTATTGAAGTTTTATATCATAGTGCCTTCATATAATCACTATGATGTAAACTGTAAACACAATTATAGACACTAATAGTTATTAAATCACATTCTTGTCCATGAGTTTTTTTATTAATAATATTTTGGGGAAAAATTCTATCAAAATGCAAAACATTTAATTTGATAAAAGCGGCATTTTCAAAACAGATCGAGTCTTACTGGCTGGTGACCAAAAGCACAAGTGTATAGTTTAAGGAGTGAACTTAGAGAGCGTTTGGTAATACTGAAATCGGCTGATTCTGCCGAAATAAACTTATGAAGTTGTGGTTGATGAAGTGACTGTATTGGTTAATTCTGATGATTTATGAAAAAATTATATTTAAAATATATGGAGTAGTTTATTACTAAAATAATGAAACAATTATATGAAAAATAGCTAAAATGGCCATCTAAAGTAACTCCAGCCAATACAACCAGAAAACTAACTCCAACCTTACCTTTTTTTAGAGCATTCACATTCATGCTCTAAGGGCATCACCATCCATAAGATTATTAAGTGATTATTCTAGTGACATGGCAGATTATTTGGGAGAGCATGATTGAGTGAGAGAGATTATTGGACAGAATTAATTGATAGAATAATCCGAGATCAAAATATGAAACCGGATTATTTTGAGATTATCTATGAAATTAGAGTTAATTAGTTGCTACATGACCCACAAAAGATCAGATTATTTCAGGATGATGGTTGAAGGTAATTCGGAGGGGATGGGATTATTTCCAAAACATTTATGTGGAAAATTTTAAAAGGTAAGAGTCACAAATAATGAGATTATTTTAAAATCATGAATGTGGATGCTCTAACAAAATCTGATTTTTTGTGATTCTTACCTTTTTAATATTTGCCACATAAATGTTTTAGAATAATCACATGCATCCTTCCGAATTACCTTGAATACCTTCAACCATCATCCCGAAATAATATGATCTTTTGTGGTCCTATATTAACTAATTAACTCTAATTTCATCAATAATCTCAAAATAATCCGGTTTCATATTTTTATCTCAGATTAATTTTAACAATTAATATCTCCCAATAATCTCTCCCACTCAACCATGCTTGTTAAATATCCCACACCGGAAAGATTTGGATGAACAAATTGCTATATTAACACATGGGCTACTCCTCCTATCAGGTTGACCTTTTAGGATGGAGTCCCGTGTCTTAACATGGTATCAGAGCCAAATCGATCCATGGTGTGGGGCCCTTACGACACAATTATAAAAAATTATACTTACGGCCGGATGAAAAAAAAAACGGACCGATGAAAAAAAAATTAATGATGGCACGATCCAAACGAAGTGTCTGGTCGTGAGGAGGGGTGTTAAATATCCCACACCGGAAAGATTTGGATGAACAAAGTGTTATATTAACACATGAGCTACTCCTCCTATCAGGTTGACTTTTTAGGATGGAACCTCGTGTCTTAACAATGCTCCCCGAAATAATTTGTCATGTTACTAGAATAATCACCTAATAATCTCATGGATGGTGATGACATTATTATTACAAAATTCAGCGCGCGAAATCAAAAGTTACGTACATGTTTGGTTAAAATGTTGGTTGATATGCCTACCGAAAAATAGAGTAGTTCAATTCGAGATCACAAACTTAAATAAATTCGAATGGTTGTAAGCTTTCATTGTTGTAAGATACCCATTAATTAGTTAGTTTACAAGGACAACTCTTTAATCAGTTTATTTTGGTGGTATTGGCAGGAGGCTCTACAACAATAGATTGGTCGGAATTATTCCAAGGTCTTTATTCGTACTATCCATGCTCAATGTTTTGTAAGTGACATCATGAATTGTTATTGTTAGTACGCAGTCATTTCGACGTTTCCATTACTCTACTTCAATTCATAAAAAACATGTATTAATTTTTGCGGTTGAATTGGTTGTCGCAATTAAATTGAGCCATACGATATTACATGCTACCTCCGTTCTTTTTTAAATGCAACGTTAGACTTTTTACACTATTCATATGTTCTACTTTGACTCTA